CGTGTTCCTCCTAGCCCCCCATAGTGCTCCCCATAGTCCCCACAGTGCTCCCCATAGCCCCCCACAGTGTGCCCCATAGCCCCCCACTGCTCCCCAGAACCCCCCGGCACATGCAGTGCTCCCGCTAGCTCCATTGGCACACGCAGTGCACCCCATAGCCCCCCACACACACTGCCTGTGTGCCTGGCTGGGAGGCTGCTGCCCACTGGGGCCGCACTCACCCCCTGGCTCTGGTTCTCTTCTCAGCTGCAGTCAGATGCCCTCGCGTTGCAGCCTGCCCCGCTCCGTGAGTACCCGGGCTGTGTCCGAGGGGCGGGGAAGGGACCGTGCAGGGCATGGGCAGGGCCTGTGGGTCGCTGTCCTATCCCCCTCCCCTGGGCTCGAGGGCATGAACACGGCCATTCTGCAGCCCCAGTACCCTGCCCTGGCACTGCCGGGCACACTCTGCACCCCACTGGGTCGGGCCCTTCCATGTCCCCAGATGTGCCCCTGTGGGCCGGCCGGTGCCTGCTTGTTCCCAGCCCCGAGGGGCGGGCACCGGGCCCCTTCAGAGCCTGCCTGGTGGGAAAGGAACCAGCCTCCCCCCCTCCTCCCCAGCTGGCTCTTCTAGCCCAGGGCTCTGTGTGAGGTGGGGGCAGCGTGATGGGCAGTACTGAAGCACGGGTGAGGCTGGCATCGCTGGCATGGATTTATACAGCCCTGCCTGGCACCGGTCCCAGCGCACTCGAGTTACAGCGAGACAGCGGCATGCACAAAGCCACAGGGCTGCGGCATCGGGCTAAGAACAGGGGCAGGATGGACGGGGCTGTCTCTGCAGGCCTGGCCCCTCTGCCCCATGACTGCTCCCTGCCTGGTACCCCGCCACACGCACCCCACCCTGCACCCGCTCTGTGCCCGGCCCTGCTCTGCACCCGCTCTGCCTGGCCCTGCCCCCGCTCCGTGCCCAGCCCCGCCCTGCCCCCGCTCTGCCTGGCCCTGCACCCGCTCCGTGCCCTGCCCCGCCCTGCCCCCGCTCCGTGCCCGGCCCTGCCCTGCACCCGCTCTGCCTGGCCCTGCCCCCGCTCCATGCCCGGCCCCGCCCTGCACCGCTCTGCCTGGCCCCGCCCTGCACCCGCTCCGTGCCCTGCCCTGCACCCGCCCGGCCCTGCCCTGCCCCGCTCCGTGCCTGGCCTTGTTCTGCACCCGCTCCGGCCGCCTCCTGCTCTGACACCAGCACGTTTTCCTTCCCCACTCACCCCCTGTCCTGGGCAGCCTTGTCACGGCTCCCTCCCTTCTGCCCCCCCCCCAGAGCAAGCGCCTGCGAGGAGCCAGCCAGGGACCAGGGGAAGGAAGTGCCAAGGTGAGTGGGGGCAGTGGTGTCTGATCCGCCCACGGGGATATTTGGGGAGCACGGCCGTGTGCTGGGGACAGACTGAGCTGGGAGGCTGGGGCGTTTGGGGTCACCACCTGCCCTGCAGCTCTGGCTGCCTGCAGTGCCACGCCGCGGGGGCTCACAGCCCGGCACCAGCACACCAGTTACTGTTCACAGGGTGACCCCCACGCCCCACAGTCCCGAATCGCCCCCAAACCATCTGCCCTCCCCTGGGCCGCTCACAGCCTGTGGGGTTTGCTGCTCCCAACAGCAGCTGGTCGATTTCCCCAGGGTTTGACTCTTCCGGGCACAGGGCTGGGCTGGGGATTCGTAAAGGTCAAACGCTCGGAGGTCTGAGCGCCGCCAAGGCAGCCGAGGCTGCGCACAAACATGAGCACCCACCCGTGCCCCCCTGTGGGAGCCTTACCAGGGGCTGGAGCTGCAGCCTGCCTGGGGAGCAGGGACGTCCGGCGCTTGCAGACAGGGCCCCACCTGGGTCAGGCAGGGCTCAGGCACCGAGAGACGGAGCCAGTCGCTTTGCCCTGCTTGCGCGTGGGCTCAGGGCAAGTCCCGCGCCAGGCTGGCCAGGGGCAGGGGGAGGCATGGCCAGAGGGAAGCCAGACGGGGTGACGCTGCTGGTGCTGGATTTGCCTCTCTCCCCCGTCCCTGTGTCTCTGACACTCCGGCTTCCCCTCGTCCCCTCTCCCAGGGCAGCTCTGGCCTCTCTCCTGCTCCAGCCCCTGGGACGGACGGCGAGATCCTGACTGGGGATTTTTCCAGGGTGAGTGGATCGTACCCGTCCCATGAGCTCGCCGCTCCCAGCCCAATCGCTCCGCAAGGGCCCATCACCCTGGGCAGTGACCGAAATCCTCGCTCCCCTTCCCAGAGCCCAGGCCCTATGCCCCGGCCTCTCTCCTGGGGCCAGCGAGGCTGTGCTGCTCTCCTTAGCTGGGCTGGCCTCGTCTGCTAGCACCCCCAGCCCTTCCCGCCACAGGCCCCGCGAGGGCGCAGAGCATCCGCCCGTCCTCCCCGTCCCAGGAGGGTGCCGGCTGCCCCTCCAGCACCATACAGTGAACATGCCTGCCCCAGGGGCCAGTCTGTGACTAAGGTGAACGCCTCACCTCTCGGCTCCAGGGAAGGTAGGATGTGTGTGCGTGTGGGGGAAGGGGACATCCTGCTCCAAGGAGGGCAGAGCATGTGGGGGAGGGGGGGCGTCCCACTCCAGGGAGCACAGGGCGTGTGTGTGGTGGTAGACAGGGGATACATATGTCCCTCCCCAGGGAGAGCGGGGATATCCCTTCAGCTCTGTTTTTGTGCCAATGCCTGTCTCTGTTGGTGCCTCCAGCCCTGCTCTCTGCCGCTGGAGGATGGCCAGCACCGGGATCTGCGTTACGTCAGCCCCGCCACAGTAAGTGTGAAATGCGCCCACTGCTGGGTAACAGCGCGCGCGGACCCCATGCTTGTAAAACAACTCTTATTAAGAACCGCAGCGCGATGCAGCAGCCGCAGCTGGCATTCCAGCCATGTGCACACAGACCGATGGCTGTCTGGGTGTGCCGGCTGTCCAGCTCTGCTCCGCTGCTGTCTCGGTTTGCTCTCCACCACTGTCCTCCGTCTGCAGCTACTCATGTGCCCAGCGTCCCGGAGCAGCTTGTAGCATTGCCCTTTGCCACTGCTGTGTGTGGCTACTGACGGCTGGACCCCACTCTGCTCCCCTGTACGTAGGGGACTCGGCTCCTTGGCTCCTCTGTCACAGCGGCTGCGCTGCCTGCCTGCGTGGCGTTCTCTGAACTGCTTCCCTCCTGCGCACTGTCCCTCCCTTGGCTACAGCAGCCGGCCCTTCCAGGGAAGCAAGTCCAGCTCTCTGACTCCTTCGCTTTGCTGGGGTCCCTGGGAGTGACACTGCTGTGATCCAGCATTGCCCTTCCTGTCTGCTCGGCCTTTGCCATCGCTCCCCTGGCTGCGGGCACTGCCAGGGCTCCTTCCCATTGCTGGGTGGGTACCTGGGGAAGACGTCTTGTGCTCCAATTCCCCTTTGGATTCTGCTGCAGTGAGCTGCAGCCCGGATGCAGGGCTGGTGCAACCTATTAGGCGACCTAGGCGGTCGCCTAGGGCACTAGCATTTGGGGGGCGGCATTTTCTTCGTCGTCGGCATTTAGGCAGAGGGAGCTGGGGCAGGGGGGCGTGGGGAGGGCCGCCTGCAGCAAGTAAGGGGGAGAGGGGAAGGTGATGCTGTGGAGAGACTGCCCCACACAGCATCTGTGTTAGCTCTGCCTGCTCTGCAGACTGGCCGCCAGCAGCGCCGTTCCTTGCCCTCACCTAGCACTGGTGCCTCGATAACATGCGTTGCAGGCGCATGGGAGCACCCAGCCGCAGCGTGTGCTCAGTCTGCACGTGCAGCTGGTGATCAAAGGGAACTGCTGGAACCAGGCGCCCTGTTACAGAGTGTGGGGGAGACAAGGCCCTGCACCCCCGGCTTCCTGCGATTCACCATGACTCTCAGCCAGCCAGTAGAACAGAAGGTTTATTTAGAGACAGGAACACAGTCCAAGACAGGTCTTGCAGATACAGACAACAGGACCCCCTTAGTTAGGTCCCTCTTGGGGGGGGGGGGCAGGGAGGCCAGAGCCCCATCTGGGCTCCCCTCCATTTTCCCAGCCAGCTCCAAACTGATACTCTCCAGCCCCCCCTCCTCTGGCTTTGTCTCTTTCCTGGGCCAGGCGGTCACCTGATCTCTTTGTTCTCCAACACCTTCAGTTGGCACCTTTGTAGAGGAAGGGCCCAAGTCATTAGTTGCCAGGAGACAGAGTGTCGGCCATTCTCTGTGCAGACAGTATCACAGGGGTCCTCTTGGGCTCTGCAACAATCACACACCCTGATCCCCTCCACCTAGATACCTAAGAAATGCATAGGGGAAACTGAGGCACCCACACAGTATTCAGGGAAAACATTAAGAACAGTCCACTTCGTCACACTGAGCACATCCCCTTCCTGTGCCCGGCAGGGCTTGGCACCAGTGCTGCCCCTAGCCCTCCTCCTGAGTCCCCCCTGCAGCTCCAGTGGCTTGGCAGGGCAGCGCACGAGGGGCTGTGATTCATTGCTCTTTCCAGAGCCCATGCCCGCGCCGCATCGCTGTGCCAGCTGTCTGCAGGGCCCACGGGCGTCTGATGGGCAGGAGCAGAATCTGCACAGGCAGCTGCCCATTCCTCCACATCACTGGACTCCTTCCACAGCCTTTGCCCCCGGCATTTTCTTGCTGGCTCAGTTTTGCAGGGGCTGGCTGGAGTCCCTCAGAGATGAGCAGGTCTCCGGTGTAGGGCACCTCAGTTCCCTTCGGCTCACCTGAAATCTGTTTCCACGCCCCCTGCACTGCTGCCCAGAGCTGGGCACTTTTCCTTCGGCCTTTCCCTGGACCAGGATGCCGGCACTGTCAATGCGTCTGTGTCCCTCGGTCCGGCCTCCTGAGCCCATGTCTGTGTTCTGCCCTCGTGCCTGTCCTTGTTTTGATCCTTTCCCTGGACTGTTCAGTTGGCCTTGCTCTTTGGAGGCATTTCTCTAGGGCTAGAGCCGTTTCCCTGTACACTGGAATCACGTGTCCTCTCACTGATTAGGGAACCTGTTACGTCTTCACAGCTCCATGCGCATGCCTGAGCTCTCAGCTCCATGCTGCAAGAGCACGGCTCCGGCTCCCTCTCCCGGCTCATTCTGTTCGGGGCCCCAGGACCCAAACGCCTCGATCTGCCATTCCAGTGTTTCATGCGTTGTTCCTGGCAACAGGGTCTCCCGCGCCTCGCCTCCTTTCCCCCCAGTAGGATACTACAAAATCTTCCCCTTTGCTGCATCATCTCTATCCCCTCTGGCCAGTTCTCCATACAGACTCATTTCTGACACCTACTGCTGCCATGCCTGGGCAGAGGGTTTTGCTGGCAATCCAGCTCCCTCCGTGCTCTGCGTCCTTCCGAGCTGCCTGTTTGCTCTGCTTCCAGCTGCTGCGTCGTGGGCCTGTTAATCGTCCCCGGTTCCGTGCTGTGTGTCTCACTAGACTGACGCTGCCACCCCGTGTGCTGGGGAGTGACAGAAAAGGACTAAAACTAAAGCGGCCCAGGCTCCATTATTTGCAGAGGAGCTGCCCCGGCAGCCAGCATTCCAGCCACGTGCCCACAGACTGACTGCCTGGTGCTTCCCCCATCTCTGACCCCAGTCAGGAACTTCACAGGGTGAGGGAAACAGCACTAGCCCTAAAGCTGCTGTGTGTCCATGCCCCTGCTCCTGCCCAGGCCCTCTGCTGCCTGCCTCCCTGCCACCCACAGAAAGACGCAGCCCAAAGCCACACGGATCGGCAGAGACTGTGGTGCGTTGGTGGAGCTGGGACTGAGCACTGTGTGGGGGGTGCGGGGCAGGATTGGGGGCATCGGACCAGCTACGTCTGGGGACCTTATGCCCCGGTGGAAGCATGGACTCGCTGCTGGAGCGCCCCCGCGTGGCTGGGCATGGCACAGCCGCTCTCCTCATCTCACGCCCCTGCTGACGGCTGCTCCAGCCCAGCAGTTCTGCCTCGTCTCGGGACTCAGCCCTCCAGCCAGATCATGCTTAGTCCCCCCCTTTCCGGGGAACTACGTCCAACAACCGTCTGGTCGGCCGCCCCCCGTCGGGGCCCATCCCCCCCCCCGGGCTCCCACCAGGCCACAGCCCCTTCTCGGGGGCTTCTCACCGCCTTCCCCAGAGCAGGTAGGGGAGCCCAGGCCTGGCCTCTGTCCTGGGTTCCAGCCACAGGCAGTCCAGGGTCACTCCACCAGACTCCCGGCTGTTGCCTCTGTGGTCTTCTGCCTACCCAGCCGGTCAGCAGCCCCCTCTAGGTTCACCCTTCTCTGCCCTCTTCGGTCCCCCTCGCCTGTTCCTCCACTGAACCCCTCCCAGGGTCTCGCTCTGCAAGCCCAGAGCCTGCCCTTTCACCAGGGCTCCCCACCCCAGGGGCTGCTCGGGGTCTCTCCTGGCCTCTTGCCAGACACTGCTCTCCTTAGGCGAGGGTCCCAGGGCAGCTCTGCCCCAGGGCTTCCTCCCTGACCCTCCTCCTCTCTCCAGCCTCGCCCCGCAAGGGACTGCCGAGTGCGTCCCTCGCTCCCTGCAGCCCCCGTCTGCTGACCCCCCCCCGGGAGGTACCCCACACGCCAGGCTCCAGGGGACCAGGGGTTAACTGGCCTCTCCTGCTCCAGTTAACTCTTTCAGAGCCAGGATGGACTACACCCCTCACACCCTGGCCATGCGACGTTGCACCCTCAGCATGTTGGGCCCAACGCCTGACGCGAGGGGCCCTGGCAGGTGGGGGGAGGACGAGCCCAGAGCTGCCATGACGCAGCCTCTCGGGAGCTCATCCCCCTCCCCATTTCAACCCCCCCCCCAGGTGGCTTCCCTGCTGTGCGGCCAGTTGGCTGGGGTGGTGGAGGAGTACGTGGTGGTGGACTGTCGCTATCCCTATGAATACACGGGGGGACACATAAAGGTAAGAGCCTGGCTCAACCGGTCCTGCCCCCAGCAACTTCCCGCAGGCAACAGGCTGCCTGCTGGGCAGAGACAGCTCCCGCCAGGTGTCACAGAGAGCGGGGCAGGACTGGCTGTGTGGGGAGCTCCCGGCTACTCCAGCCCCGGCCTGTTCCAGCAGGGGGCGCTGTGGGGAGCAGGGCGGGGCGCTGGCTGTGGGGATCATGAAATTATTAAAATCCTATAAGCATCATGCAGGATCCTGGGCTGCCCAGTGGCTTTGCCTGGGGAGAAGGGGGCGGGGGCCATGGCACTTTGCCAGCTCCCAGTTGACCCCATCTATGGGATGCTCCCCCAGCCCTGAAGGCGGGGAAGGAGCACTGAGCCCTGGTCTTGCCTGTGCTGCCCCCCCACCCGCTGCACCCCTCTGACCTCCTTGCTCTCGCGCAGGGCGCCCTGAATCTGTACCGAGAAGAGCAGCTGGCGAGGCGGTTCCTGCCGGATCCCTTGGGCACGACCCCGTGCCCCCGCAGCAGTGTCCTGATCTTCCACTGCGAGTTCTCCTCTGAGAGAGGCCCCCGATTGTAGGTGCCTTGGGGGCCCGCCCAGCTCCCCCCACTCTCTCCCTGCTCATCCCCCTGCCGAGGTTTCTGTGATAGGGAGGAGCCGCAGCGTTGGGGACACTGGAATGCCTACCCGGCTGAGATCAACATAAGAACATAAGAACGGCCGTACTGGGTCAGACCAAAGGTCCATCTAGCCCAGTATCCTGTCTACCGACAGTGGCCAGTGCCAGGTGACCCAGAGGGAGTGGACCAACAGGGCGCGCCTGGCTCCCATCCCAGCAGTGCTGCCCAGCTGGGGGCACCTCGCTGCTCCACTCCCAGGGCAGCAGTGGCAGCCTGTGGTTGCAGGTGCCCCCCAAGGCTCTATGTCCTATTGGGGTGAGGCCAATGCCTGGCTCTGGGGGCTGGGGCTGGCCAGTCTTGCTGGCTCCAGGCTCCATTAACCCCACAGTGCCCCCTGCCACACTTCCTGTGCCCATGACCCTTCCTGCCCTCACAAGCTCACTTCGGCCAATCAGACTCACCCACTCCTGCCCCGTCCTGTGGCCCCTGTGGGTGCAGGGGGGTCCCTAGAGTGACAATGGGGAGGGGCTCAGTGGTGAAATCCCTCTGTCATTGGGCAGGTGCCGCAGCCTGAGGAGAATGGACCGTGATGCCAATCGGTACCCGGAGCTCTGGTACCCAGAGCTGTATGTGCTACGTGGCGGCTACAAGGAGTTTTACCAGCACTTCCAGGTACCTAGGGGGCTGTTGCAGGGGAGGGGGTGGCATAGCCTAGAACAGAACCCAGGAGTCCTGGCTCCCAGCCCCCTGCTCTAACCACCAGACCCCACTCCCCTCCCAGAGCCAGGGAGAGAACCCAGGAGTCCTGGCTCCCAGCCCCCTGCTCTAACCACTAGACTCCATTTCCCTCCCCAGGGGAAGTGTCACATGCTCTCTCTCTTTCTAGGATCTCTGCGAGCCCCAGGGCTATGTCCACATGCGACACAAGGACTTCCGAGCCGAGCTTAGGAACTACCAGCGGAGGAAACAGCCTTGGAGCCTGCGCAGGATCCGCAAAGAGCTTTTCAAGCCCCTGTTCCCAGGGTCTCCCCTCCCATAGCAACCCAGAGCCCGTCCCTGACTCACAGCGAGGTACCCACTAGCCCCACCCCTTGCCTCTGAAATGGAGCTGCCCCTTTCCCGTTTGGCAAGTCAGACCTTCCCCTGCTGGCTGCCCCTGGAGCTCCAGCATCCCAGCTGTAAGTTAAGACTCTAGCCTTTATGGTTGCAAAGAAAACCTTCAAAATAGGGCTCTGTGAATGAACCTGATGCAGTGACGTCTTCCTGAGTCTGCAGGCAGCCTGAAATGATAGCTCTGCGAGGTTGAACAGCTCCATTCAGCTCGTTGGATGTTGACTTGATGGCAGCATTGTTCACTTTTCATTTCGGACCCAGACACACAGGACAGAGGAGGAGCCATCATTTCATGGAGACCTGCGCAATTTGCCTTTATTGGTGTCACATTTTAGTGCCTCGAAAGGGTGGAGTTTGGTCTGTGGGTGGAGCTTGGGTGCACTTCACTCCTTCCCCCTCCAACTGACCTCTGCCCCTGTCCCAGGGCAGTGATTGACAGGAGCTTTCCCCCCAGGGCTGCCCTCAGCCCCATCCCCTCCTCTCGCTCCCCTTCTTGCCAGGCAAATACAATAAAAGTGCAGCAGCTTGAGTAAGTCAAACCTGGACTGATGCAGCAGCAGGTTTAAGGCCTGGCTCTTTGTGGCCACCTTGGTCTCCTCTTGTTCCCTCCTCCTGTTCTCCTGACATTTCCTTTTACTCTCGCCTCCCTCCTTCCCCTCCGCACATGCTCCCTCCCCTCTCCTGCTGAGCCACTCCTGGGAAATCACGCCTCGCCAATCTACTAGAATTCTTTGAGGAGGTCAACAACCATGTGGCTGTGACGTTATTGACATAAACTGGGACCATATAGATCATTGTTGCAACCAAGGTCCTGTAGTGGCACCCAAATCTTGTATAAAGGGGGTCAAATGGGGTGTCTAAGACAAGGTTATGGTTTACTGGTTATGATTAGGCTGTCTATGTGTGTGTATCAGTTTTGTAGTTGAAGTTATGAATATTGGCTCTATACTGTCTGTATGGCAAACTTATGCTATGCTTCTGGGTGACATCCCAGACAAGCTGGGATTAGCTCTGCCTAGCCTGCTTGATGGCCCATTAAGGACCATCAGCTATACAATGGACTCATTGAGAGAAGGCAAATATGCCTTCAGACTCAGCAAAGTATGCAGGGACTGGCCCATGTGACTCCAGGCTCCATTTTGCTGTAATTTTCCACAGTAAGAACAAAGAGGTGTTCTTACACCTGGAAAAGACTATATAAGGCTGATGCCTCATCTCCATCTGGTCTTCAATCCTGCTTCTTACCTCTGGAGGAACTTTGCTACAAGCTG